AAGTTGAATAGTGGATGGTGGGCATTAAGCCACTTTAAAAACTGACTTAACTCAACTTCCTACACCACATAAGATTAAATGGTAATAAAAATGAAGAATTCCTATACTTATTACCAGAAACTATGGTCTTTGGCCAAATTTTTAAGCAAATAAATTTCTCTGCCCCAATTCTTTGTAAATGGACAGGAAAAATTGCTTCTGCTGATTTTATTTTTGTGACTGCACTTTGGCCAAGTTGGCCTGGCTAGTAAATTTTTAGAGTTGAAATTTCGCAAAATTCTCAAAATTAGCAGAAATTTTGGGCCAATTTTTTCCCAGCTAGAATGAATATACTTGTTGCTCAAAAAGGACACTGGGCAACAGTGTAATGCCTTATCAATTGGCTATACCTAAGGCCTTTTCACACTGGCCAAAGTAATGCACATTAATCGTGTTCACACTAGAGTGATTTTTAATTGATGCGCATCAATGCACATCACTCTCACCTCACCTCGGATCCGAGGTGGATTGATGTGAAGTGATGCACTTCGATCAATGTAAACCAATGGCAACTAGTGTAGTGCAATAAGTGCATACATTATTATTATTACCTGATACTCTTCTGATAATATTCCACTCAATGGAAAATATTTATTAAACTGTGAATAGATAACAGCTGTCAGTATACCAAGAAGTAGACGCTGTAGACCAGGCAAGAGACTACAAATACACATATACGGGTGTACAATAAACGGAGAGCAGTTCAGGCCTTACCTTGATGGAGTAGTTTTATAATCAAATAATATACTTGATATGAAATGCTTGTATCTTATATAGCTTATCTGGAAAAGGAGGGAGGGCAAGAAGAGAGTGAGAGACAGGGCCAAGTTACTCAAGTACAATGTACATATTATACATGTACATGTACTTATTACAATAAGGAATTAAAATCATGCATGGATTATTTTAATCAGTAAAATTTAATTAGTGAGACATTTGGATAATGATAAGTGCAAGTACTTACTGCATAGCTGGAAATAGTTTCTAAATTTTCCAAGTGGCAGAATTTTATATTGGTGATTATCATATACTAACTAGAAAATTTGTTAAACTAAAATTTTGCAAATTGAGGTTCTTTTGTCAAAACTTTAGTCTCCAATTTGATAGGGTTCCATAAAAGCATGGACAGGGTTAAAATTTCACCAAAATTTTAACCTCCAAACCTCTTTTAGAGTCAATTTGCTAATTCTAACGCTACAAATTTTCCAGCTATACGGTATATGCCACTGATGATTGATCATGTTCAAAATTACAGGTTTTATATGGCAGTTGCTCACTGACAGTATTCCATAAATATTACTACCATAGCTAAATTGCCAATAGTAAAATTAACACAAAATTTCCAGGACATTAAGTTTGTGGTTTACTATTAACATTTTCCATTTCCACTGACCTGAGGTCCTGATAATATGTTTGCAAAGAAATAACTATAACCAAAATACTAAGGAAAGAAATACAGTTATCATTGATTAATGTGAATGAAAGGAAGAGGGTCCATATTACCTCAATAAAGGATGGCAGCTCAGCCAAGCACCTTTCCTTCTGTTCATCACTCAGTGAAGACTATTGGTAACATGAATAAAGAAGAAAGAGGAAGAGAAATGGGAGAGAAGTGAGTGGAGGAGTAATTGAACTATTTGTAAATT